TCCATAATCCGTATAGATTGACATCTTAGGAGACGTCACCAAGACAGACTAGACATTTATCTTATCTTAATAGTATATAGTTGGCGGGTATAGACATGATTTAAACCGGTTTTCATTTATCTTATCTTCATCACAATATACAGTCAGCAAAACTAGGTCATCATATGATTTTCTTTTTGTTCAAATCTTCTAATCACTTTTCTTCACCCTAATATGCTGATAAAGATACCACAACAATATATATTTTGTGATAATATTTTGGAAGGCGAAGGTGGTCATAGATAGTTTTGCCTGGGCGATAGCCTACTTAAAATTCAAATAATAATATTTCGTAAAACAATCAGGCAAACATGTCAAAGCAATCAAATATTTGACTATTATTATTATTTCTCAAAGGGTTAGTTTGGTATTACTGTGCTTTGAAAAAAATTGATTCTGCTATCTGTGAGAATAAGCTCATTTTTATTGTTTCACGTTTTCAGCTTTCTTTTCACGCAAAACTGTGAAAATAAGTTGTTTTTAAGTGTTTACCAAACACATTTTTGAACTCAGTTTTTTTTATACCACTTTTTATAAAAGCACCTTAGTACCAAACCAGTACTAATTCACATGAAGTCAAAATAAATTAAAGGTGTTGCAAACTTGCTATCTCAGCACTATTTTTTACCTTCCACATACTCCTCACAATTTTTGTCCGTTTGATCAAATAAATTGAAGATGATCAAATGATAAAAAATAAAAAAGATGTGTGTGGATAACATCATCCTAAACTAAAAAAAACTAAGTTGGAAACACAAAATTAGTGTTTGCACTCAAAATATACCCATTTTTACTTATTTGGGCAATTTGGGTAAAATATGGCATTTGAAGGATTAATATGCAAGAAAACTAATTTGGAAAGATATTTGGCTACAAGTGAAGGGGTTTGGCACTATAATATTGTTTCTCCCATTTGTTTGGGTGGTGGAGGTTTGCCAAGAGAATTGTTTAATGAAGATAAGTGCATGCTTTTCCATGCAAGTGGGTGGAAAGACACCATGCATGCTTTCGGGCAAGAATGTGTGATGAGAGAAGCCAACTAGCCAACTTGCTTATTTTAAATGTTAGTTTATTACAAGTGGGAAAACATGTGATGAAAGCATGTGGTGGAAATGCAAGTTCCCCTTTTAATATTATTTCTCCATGCAAGTTGGCAAGTGAAATACAAGCTGCCCAAGCAATGGAATACAAACTGCCCAAGTTTCTTTCGGGCAGGTGCAATGTCTTCAGCAGGAGGGTTTCGTCCGGACCTCTATATAAAGAAGTAGATGGAGAATGATTATAGACACTCAAAACAACCAATCAAAACTCTACTCAAATTAGCTCATCGGCTTCCTTGTAGACATTTATTTTTAGCCAAGCATCCTTTACTTTTCTTGTTTATTAGCTCTGCTACTCACTTGTAGTATCGATCCAATTTGTAGCTTTTATGTACTCATTTCCAATCATATAAATTACAAGCAATCTGCAATATTAGTCACTTTCCTCTGTCATTTATATCTCCAAGCAACCTTGTCATTTACATATTGTTCTATCTCTCCATATAAGTAAAGTCCTTATTTTTAAGGCAAACAAAGAACCTTAATTTGAGTAACTCCCACTCAATGGCACAATCTCTTGGTTCGAAGTCAAACTCAGGCGCAACCTCAATCATTCAAATCCCGTTTACTAGAGGCATCTAGTAGTGGCACGCCCGCACCCCACCAATCTCGTATGTGAGCAAATCCCCGGCATGCCCACAAGGCACCATGGCGGATATAGGGAGCGAACAATTAGCATGAATTTTATAAGAACCCTGCCCAAAACGACATCATTTTGGGTTTGGGCTGCATTTTTTTTCAATTCAAACATCCATGTCGCCTAAACGCCTGAGCTATAAAGCGTAGGCGTCTGAGCCAATGCAATTCTCAATTTTCTCACTGAAAAGAAATGACCGGACTTCAGTAAATACATGTCTCGTGTATAATTAAATAGGGATTGAGCGAGGACTGTCACTGACGAGGGCTAAGCTTGCGAGCCGAGCCAACCAGAAAGAAGAAGTCGATCATCAGCACTCTGTGTCGGGTCTTCCATTGATCCTTCAGCTTTATCCTCACGGCTTTCTTCACCTCTTTATGTCCATTGCAGCACACTTTGTCTCTTTACCAATAGTCTTTACAAGAGCATAGTCCTTCCCTGAAATGGTGAAACCGGTTGCAATCTCTGATCACGATTTCCCGACCAAACTCCTCAGAAATCATCTTCATGGCATCATGACAATCACGGCATATCCTCAGGTTTTTAACAATTCGAATTGGTGTGCCTGTACTTGTCTTCAAAAAGCAGAATGCAATTGCCAATTTTTCGCTATGGTATGCCAAAGCCAACTCCTTTCCTTCCTCATCTAGTTCAAGTAACGCCTCACTTGTATTTCCTACAAAGCCTTTCATTCTCAACCTATTCATAATCTCGTCAAGCATCATGTATATCTCTCGAGTTTCTGGATGCGAATCATCACACGCGAAAAACTCATGAAGAACACCTCCTACCTCAACCAACTACAACCGGGGACTTTCTTGACCTCTTTTACCTCCATGAGATCTCTCACACGCCTTACTTCACTCCATTTACCCATCTTTGCGTACACATTTGACAAAAGTACATATGCACCACTATTCGTGGGATCCAACTGAATTAGATTCTTCAGTGCAATCTCACTCATTTCGATGTCCCTATGCATCCTAGAGCCACTGAGCAGAGCCCCCCATACAAGAACATCAGGCTCCATTGGCATGGACTGCACCACCTTCAGTGCCTCTCGAACGAGACCAGCTTTTCCATACAGGTCAACAATACAACCAAAGTGCTGGATCAAAGGCTTAATACCAAACTCCTCATCCATCCTCCTAAAGTACTCCTTCCCTTCACTCACCAAACCTCCATGTACACAAGCACAAAGAACACCCACAAACGTCACAGCATTAGGCCTCACGCCGAGCTTTATCATTTCAGAAAATAATTCAAGGCATTCTGTAGCATGTCCGTGCATGGCCAGTCCTGAAATCATTGAACTCCATGCCATCACATCCTTGTAAGGACCCATATTATCAAAAACAACTTTTGCTTTCTCAATACTTCCACATTTGGCATACATGTCCACCATTGCAGTTCCTAAGACAACATCAATTTGCATCCCCGATTTGTCAATATAAGCATGAACCCATTTTCCATGCTCAAGCGCACCCAACCGTCCGCAAGCCAATAGCACGCTCGACATGGTAAACTCATTAGGCCTCACGCCACCAGCATCCACCTTTTGCATCTCACGAAACAAGGCAAGTGCGTCCTTATAGGCACCACACACAACGTACCCCTTTATCATACAACTCCAAGAGATCACATTTCTCTCAGGCATTTTATCGAACACCTCTCTCGCATCACCAATCAATCCCGCTTTCGAATAGGCATTCATAATCGAATTCCAAGACGGTAAGTCCGGTTGCGTAATTTCATCAAACACTTGACGGGCAAGCGTCAAACTCCCACAGGACGAGTACATATGTATGAGAGAAGTGCGGACAAACGGGTCGTCAGTGAACCCGAAGAGAAAAACTTGGGCGTGGATTTGTTTTCCGGGCCGGATGTGAGGGAGGGAATGGCAGGACTGGAGGAGGAAAGGGAAGGTGCGGTCGTCCGGTTCGACTCCGTGTAAGCGCATGCGGAGGAAGACGGACAGTGGGGAAGGATGGGATAGGACTGTGGATTGGACATGGGCTCGGATAAGGGTGTTCCAAACGAAGGATTCGGGGGTTGGATGGGAAAGATGGAGGGTTGGGTGCGTGGAGGATATCAGCTTTGTCTTTGTGCAGGCTCGCATTTCTTCTTCCGCTGCATAGCGGGAAACAATTCAAACCGTTTTAGGGGTTGGCATTCCAGGCTGATCCTTTTCCTGGAGATCCTAGGATCCCGTGATCTCATCGTTGATCATATATTTTCGTTAGATACTATTCATATTTAATTTTAAATCTTAAATTTTAAAATGATTTATAACCGCACGATATACGATGAACGTGTGAGATCACGGAATCCCTAGGATCCTTAGGAAAAGATCCGGCGAGGATCCTTTCCTGGCATTCCACTCTCTCCTCTCCTTTTTTTTTTCTATATATTTATTTTTTATATCCAAGCTGAAATTAAATTAATTTACCCACCCGTGTCAGTTTTGAGTACATGTACTTTTTTGTTGAAGGTTGTTCGAATTTTTTCTGAGATTATGACGTAGCTAGGTTACTTTAGCACCATGATGTCTAGTACTAAGTGAAATTCAAACTTTGATGCATATATTAAAGCACTTTGATCAACTAACTAGGCTAATGGATTACTTCAACATCGTGCCGCCTGTTACTAAGTGAAATTCAGAAGTTACTCGGCTAAGCTCAATTGTATGTAGGGTAATTCTTTAAAGATTTTGATCTTATTTATTAACATGATCAGTTATTTAAAGTATATAACGATGCTTCAGAGTTTCGGTTTTGGGTTTCAAGTATCGAAATATTTGATGCTAAAAGTATTGGAAACTGTTATTAACACTCCAAAAATCTCATTCTACACTCCTCATAAGCGTATTTTTCTTTCTAATTATAAAAAATTTGAAATGCCAAATAAAATTTTTAGAATGCTAATAACAATTCCCAAAGTAAAAACCTAATTTTGTGAATTAATAAATCCATCGAGGTTAAAAACCTAAAGTCTAAGCTCTTGATTAGCTTTAACTCCCCGTATTCTCTAACGCATCCCTTCTCCGATGCAGGCCTGCAACTCGGAACTAAATATCCGGAGATTAACAAGTATCGATGGCACAGTTGCCTTCGCATGTGCGAAGAGGAAAGGGACGGTGAAGTTCAACGAAGGCGAAAATTTTCGAGGATCTTGTGAATTATATGCCGTAGATAAAATAAATCCGCCATAATCCCTCGAAGGAATACGTACTGCACCAGGCACATGGATAACATAATAACCAGATTCTAAATTCCAAACCGATGTCTCAAAAGAAGCTTTAATTTCCATAGGAGGTATCAATCACGAAAAAAGCTGAAACAGAAGTTGATAGATAATGCCACAACTAAGCTCAACCGGTAATGCCACAAAACAGGAGACAAAGCTTTTAGTCTTCCTCCTCACCCTCGTTCTCGGCAATGTTGAAGTATCTCAATTCATAAACATTGCGGTCCTTGTTGGATGCAATCACGCGAAGCCAATCCCTCACGTTGTGCTTCTTCAAGTACTTCTTCGTCAAGTACTTAAGATACCTGAGATACGAGCGTTACAAAGGTTACACACAAACGAAAACAGAAGACAATTACTGCTCAACAATCGACAGAAATATCCTCTTTTTTTTTCAAATGAAACCATTACTCGTCAAGATTTAAGAATTTCACACACTTTGTGCTGAACTTCAACTAACATTCATAAAAATGCAAACTATAACTCCGAGTTATGGAGACAATAAACGACTGAAAACTATGCGCAAAGCACCCGGCATCAAAGCATTACACACATTCAAAGTGATATGACGATTATAAGTTATACACAAAGCATGACAAATGAAAGATAACCAGCCTAACAACACCAATACCACATCAAGTTTCTAATCGTAATTAATACTAATTAAACTGCAAAATCCTACATAATTAAAGGAGCTCAGCTTATGGGGGTGTAGTCAAACTAAGATTTTAAAGGATTTTAAAAGTGATGGATTTGATAGGATTTAAGACTCCTACAAAATTCATATGGATTTTAAAGAATTTGAATGGATTGTGGTGGAAGGATTTGAAATCCTAAATATCCAAATTTTTTTAAATGAAACCATTACTCGTCAAGATTTAAGAATTTCAGTGCTGAACTTCAACTAATATTCATAAAAATGCAATGCAACTATAACTCCGAGTTATGGAGACAATAAACGACTGAAAACTATGAGCAAAGCACCCGGCATCAAAGCAGTACACGCATTCAAAGTGATATGAAGATTATAAGTTATACACAAAGCATGACAAACGAAAGATAACCAGCCTAACAACAGCAATACCACATTATTAAGTTTCTAATCGTAATTAATACTAATTAAACTGCAAAATCCTACATAATTAAAGGAGCTCAGCTCTGCAAAATTCAGATCTGCAAATGGAAATGGAAAGTGTGTTGGTACCTTTTGGAGAAGTTGGAGTCGGAGGTGACGGTTATCTTGTTCTTCTCACGAGAGACGGTGACGGAGTCGCCGAGAGCACCGGCCTTGCCGCCGACCTTGATGCGCTCCTGAAGGAACTTCTCCAGTGAGGCGATGTCCATGATCTTATCCTCCACGGGCTTCGCGCAGTCTATCACGAATGAAGCTCCCTTCTTCTTCCCTCCCTTCGTCCCTGCTGCCGCCCCACGACTCATCTTCGTCTCTCTCTCTCTCTCTCTCTCTCTCTCTCTCTCGCTGCCCGCTTCTGCGTGGGTGTGTGGGAGCTGCGTCTGTTAGGATTAGCTCTCAGTTGGATAAAAGAGTGCTAGGGTTTTGGATTCGCGGGTTTTTATTTTATCTTTCAGGTACGGGCCCAAAGGCCCAGAGCTAACTGCAAACACGTCTAAGCCTGCCTAACCCAACCCACTCATTTCTAAGTCGAATGAAACTAATTAGGCTCGTTTGGATGTACTTTTAAAATTACTGAAAGTGTTTTTAGAGAAAATATTTTTTAGATTTCAAAAGCACTTTAAGTGATTTCTACAAAAAGCATCAATTATGTGCTTCTTCCAAGAAGCACTTTTAAGTGTTTTTCCAAGATTTATTTATATTTTTACTAAGGATTGATTCTAAAAACTTTTTCACCATAAACGTTTTCAGTTATTTTAAAAGTATATCCAAATGAGAAGGATTGAGATTTTGAAATTGTATCAATTTATTTCTTTTGAAATTTGGACTGTTTGTTGTCTTTTTTTTTTTTGGAGTATAACTTGATGACAAGGCATTTGTGGGACTTGTTAGTACGCTAATCTTCAAGCCAAACTTGTACCACAACGTTTCATATTCTTAAATCGCACAAACCGAACTCATTCCTGCTAGTAATCAAAGAGCTCCAAATTATCCTAAACATTATTGATGTCTTCAAATTGCAAGTGTGGCTTTCCATTGTCCCAAACAAAATCTATAAATTGATTTGATTTCTTAACTTCAAGTACAATTTGAGAAAAGATAGAACCCCATGTTCTATTATGGCAACCATCCTAAATCAAATGAATGAATTATCTGTACTTTTCTAGACGTCATTATGACCGCATATATTAATAATACTATGCTACATATTTTAAATTCTTTTGACACATGTTTTTAATTTTTCACGTAACATCATACAATTGAGTTGAAATATCGTTGCCTTGACATCTCCTTTTAAATGTTTAATGATGCAAGTCATTTATAAAATAAAATGAATTAGCTCACGTTGTCGTTTTAGTGGAACGTTTCTCATTCCACGTTTCGTTTCTTGTCGGATTGCTACCGAATTTACCATCCACGGTGTCGTTTCGGTACCTGAGCAACTGAATTTGATTGGGAAAAGCGGGAGCGGAACTGAGAGATGGAGGGAGAGCCGTGCGACGTCGTGCCCTGCTCCTCCGTCACCGTCGATTCGATCCTCCGCATCGGAACGGTAGTCCCAACCACTTCCGAACCCGAATGTTAACCAATCTACCCCAATTGTTATTTCTCCCAATTCCTTCCTTCTAAAATCCCATTAATTTCAGGCCGGTGCAATTTGGGGCTTGTGTGCCGGTCCCCACGATGCTCGTAAACAAGGTAAGTTTCCGAACTTTTCAATTTCCTTTTCTCAAAAATGGCAAATTAATTTTGGGTTTTTTCACACTGTATCTTTTTCCGGCGGATTTAGGCTTGGCCGGAGCAGCTCAGGTGGCTTTTGTGGTACAGATTATTTCGTGAAAAAATATGTTTTCTTTGTGTTCTTAGTAAAATTTCCTGAGTGATACATTTGTTTTGGTTCGGTGAGCAGGCGAGGTCGGCTGGAACGTTTGGAGTTCAGTATGGTAAAGCTCATATGTATCACTTATGCTCCTTGTTTTTGTTTTGTTTTTCTGTTTGTTATGTTCTGAGCGGCACTGGGTTGAAGGACTTGTTGTTGGAATTTGTACTCTTACTCACTGCGGGCTTCAACGATATCGGGGAAAGAGCGATTGGGTTAGTGAGTATAGCCGTTGACATTGTCTTCGAATTCGTGTAATCGGTGTTTTAGGAAGTCAATTTGTAAAATTCTAGCATTGTTTCTTTGTAATGTAAATCCCTGCTGAAAATTTGCTTTTAGAATGTTCATAGGTTAATTGGTTACTCGTTCAAGGAAAGCGCTTGTTAGTGATTTCCGCTATGTAATCCAATTTGCATTGCTCAAAAGCACTTGCACTCCAGTTCTATATTGTGTCCGGGACACACCATTGCTGCTGCATTAATGTATTTCCCGGCAACGCCAGTTCACCAGCTAGCTGGCTGGATATTGGATTCGTTTTGATGTCATTTTATACTTAATACTTGCAAAGGTTGCACATGATAATTTGTCTAGATTGGTGGTGCACCGGATTTTGTATCTTCGTTGAGTCTCTAAATACTCAAGCTTGAAATGTTAATTCTTTAAGCTAAAGGACATGACAAGCAATTTAAACTCTCCAGTCTCATGAAATGGCAGCTTACATTTTTTTGTATGATTGTATTTTTATCGCATTGCATATCTACAGCAGGACAATAGTAACCTTAAGAATAATGTGATGTGGAAAAGCATGATGGCCTGCTAAAAGAATTATGTTTTCCCCCCTTCTGGCAGGTGAATGGTGTGGTTGCTGGTGCAGTAGCAGGGGGAGCTATTGCCGCTATGACACGAAGCTGGACGCAGGTGATTCCTATGGCTTGTCTGGTTTCTGCCTTCAAAGTTGCCACTGACTACGCTAGAGCAGTTTGAAACTTTGAAATGCCTCTTGGTGGAAAACTGTGTGGGAGAGGGAGCGCAGAGCAAGGTTGTTCTCTTTCCCTGCATCTTGTACTTCTTCCCTCCCCTTGGAGCCATTTGTCTGTATCACTAGCATTAGTTTTGACTGAGCAAAGAAATGTGTTCTGTTATGTCTAAAGTTTCTATGAACCAACCGACTGTTTCTTTTGTATGCCTTTCATTTATTTTTCCATGTACATGAGTAGAGCGGATAATAAAGATTCAGTTTTGTTGCAGATGTTCCTTTTAATATACACCTAACTGAGAATGAAAGCCTTTCAACTGATACACCCCTTCAGTCTTTGAATTCTGGGTGAAACCAAACCAGGTGAGCATTATACAATACGCTGATACCCTGCTTCTCAGAACCAAAAAACTAAAAAGAACCAAAACACACACAGAATCAGCAAATCTCTGTTTATGATTAGTCAACTTAGGCTTTACTGCAATACTATAGAGCTTTTATCTTTGTTTTTCTTTTAGTCTATTTGTGATTGCATAAAAGTCGGAGTTTCTACTCTGCGTAGGTTCGTACTGTCTCAAAACCAAGTATATAACATAACTATTTACAGTTGAACATTGCGTTTTTCTTGCATCGTTGATTTTGTTTAAGTTGACTTTGATACGGTTCTTGATTGATATGTAAGGATTAACAGTAAGCAGATTGTATAGGTTGTAGTTTGGTAGTTAGGAACCGATGGGAGGGCCTAGGCTAAATATTAGGTGACAATCTTCTACCTGTTAACCTAATTTTGTGAAGAAACCATGAGAAGTTCGTCGCTGCTTGAATGAATACGCGGTCAAGTGGTTAGGTGGTGATAATATTTTGGAGTGCTATTTCTGGTGTGGGGGTTATGGGGTTGTTCAATCAGGAATGTAGGGTGAACCGTCAAGTAGTAAGATTGAAAGCAAATTGGCTGCGGCACATGTCGGAAGACACTACGGTACGAGTTAGCGGTACGGTATATTGCGTTTTGGTCTTGATTTATTGCTCAATCCCGTCCGGTCTAGATTACTTTTTCAGTATGTCAGCGATATGTAGAGAAGGGAAATTGGAACAGTCACAAATTATCACTTGAGTTTAGGGGCTCCTGGCGCGTTAACGGGTTAACCTCTTACAAAATTTCAGGAGGTGTAACCTATACTCTTCCCAGGCATTCGAATTTTGGGTTGGTTCAAACGTCCGAATTGGGTCCATTGGAGGTGTAGCTCTAATAGAGAAGCCTAAAGCCGTAAACTAAAACCTCAGAGCATCTTTAATGGTATATGTGTACGTAAATGCCAATGGGTACTATATATTTTTTGTCGGCCCGAGAGCTCTCTAATGTGAAACTTCGGGAGCTAATCGGTTAAAATTAAAGTTCAGAGTGAAAACTGGCAGTTATTTACAAGTTTGGGGAGAAATTGGCATATACCTCAAAAATCAATCATGTGCGCACAAAGAAAATAAATGAGATCTCAAATTTACACCTCCTCAACTGTATTAAAACTCAGATTTTCATCTTTTGAAAATGTAAATATGGATAAAATGTGGATTTTACGTCTCAATATTATGTCTCCTAATTAGAGATGCTCTAAATTACGATGATTTTGGTTCTTTCCATAAGGCGGCGAGGCCCAAAATGAACCAGGTAAACAACAACAGATAAAGTAAAAGGTCCGAGCAAAATGAGAGCCGCAACCCAAGATATAACGGATGACACACACAAGGTTAGGCTCGAAGGTTGGAAAAACAAATAACAAAAAAAAAAAGAGTAAATTACATTTTACCATCTTAGGTTTGATGTCTATTGCAACATCATACAACATCTTTAAAAAATTTCACTTTCATACCTCACGTACTATTTTATTTTAATATAGTGCATTCGTTACATTTTCCTTTTATTGGTCTGTTAAAAGTTGACTTAACTGTCACATTTGTGCCACGTGGTTGCCAAATTTGTGTCACGTAGCAAAAAATAATTTTTTATGCATTTAAAAATAATAATTCACCCTATTTAAAAAAAAAATAAATAAAAACTTGAATCCCCAAAACCCCACCCCTCTTCCCCCTCCCGAGCCTCCCAACTTCATGTCCTTCTTTCTCCATCACCACCACCCATGTAATACCCTAAAAAATTTAAATATATGAATATGTGGGGAAAAATCGAAAATATTCGATTTATGGTTATGAAAAATTGAATTGAGAAATTTTAAAGTTTTGTTTCTGGGATTTATTATAATTTACGTTGAAAATTTTATCTATAAGTGGAAAAGACGAAAATGCCCTAGTTGACTAAATGTAATTTTACGAGGACGTATTTTATCCTCATGTAAATTAAATTAATTCCTGATAAATTTGGATAGAACTTGGTTCTACGAGCATGTAGGCTCAAACCGTTCGTGAAACGGAGTTATAACGAAGAAGTTATTAACGTTTAAAGTTAAGGATAGTTTTGTAATTTGACCCTCCATTTCTAGAAAGCTCCTGCAAAATCTAGAGTTAAGACCATTTAGATTATGCCACGTGTGTGGCTAGGATGGAAAGAAAATAAGAGAAAGGAGGATAGGGAGAAGGAAGAGAAAAAAAGAAAAACCTGCCCAATCAGAAGAAGGGAAAAGAGATAAATGAAGGGAAGAGGGCATCCAATGGGGAAGAGAAAAGGAAGTGAGGGAACCAACCAGAAGAGAGGAAAATGAGGGAAAAGAGGGAAGGAAAAGGCAGTCAACCCTTCAAACCCGTCCCTGACCCGGTTTCTACATCGATTTTCCAACACCATCTCCGGCGTTTCTCTGATGATTCAAAGCGCAGGGCCACTTGGAAACAACTTAGCATCAATCTATCCCCCATATTCACCCACAAATCAAGGACATTAGCCCCGATTTCATGAGAATCGCACAGGTGGGTGCGAGAGAACTTTGCTGGCGATCCACTGTATATGAAACGTTTACCTTCGATCACCACCACATTTAGCATCCTCTTGAGCCCAGTAACAAAGCCCAAACAAGTTTGGGGGCGGCAGAGTTGTTTTGGAGTAGAATCAAGAACACCAAAATCAAGGATTTCCGGTGGGTTTAGGGGAAATTGGAGCTTTTCCCGGCTAAATTGACCTTGGTCACATGTATGAAACTTGCTCCACTAATTAAGATCTATATTTCTATAAAATTTGGTAATTTTTTGAAATAGTTGAATTTTCCGGCGAGTCGGGACGGCCGACCGCCACCTGCGGCAACGTGTGGCCAGTGGGCCGCCGATGCTATTTTATGCTAAACTAATATCTTGATCTCAGATTTGACACCCGTAGTAAGTGATTTGATTATTGTGAACCTAGTTTTATTAAGGTGCATTACTTGATTATTATTTGAATTGACGATTCGACCGTTGGATTGTCACCAAACTTTAATGCATTATAGAACTTAATATTTGAGGATATTAGGAAATGACATATCAGAAATCTGACGTATGGATATTTCCGAATTGGATTTCTAAGTTTGTAAAATAAATTGTTGACCGCCACCTAATCTTAGTAATTGGCGGAGATCCGACCGTTGGATCGCAATGAGAATTTAGTATATCATTCTATAAGCATAATGCGGACCTTAGGAAGTTACAGATCCGAAATTCGATGGGCGGATCTTCCAGATCGAATTACAGATACTAATTCGAGAGTTAACTTTTGGTCAACATGACTCGTAACATTCTGAATATTAAATTTAGTACTATCGGATACTAAGTGAATTCTTGTGGGCCTACATTGGTTAGAGAGTGACTCGAATTTATGTGATGCGGTTATTACCTTGATTTCTTACATCAATATCGAATTTATGTGATATGGTTATTACCTTGATTTCTTATATAAATGTGATTTTCTTATATATATTTATCCATGAAATGATCGAATTTGATTTATGGTGGTTAATAGAGTATTAATTAACCATGATTTTATTTTGGTCCTATTACCGTGAATAGTTTTTGTATAAAATTTATGGGGTGTTATAGTACCCATTTTGTGTGATTCGATTGTAAAAACTAATGTTGAATATTTCCATTACTAGAATATTTTTAGAAATGGATAAAAGAATGAATGGTGAACTACAAGGGGTTTGATCCCACTCAAGGGTACGTAGGCAGTCTAACAGTGGTTAGATGCAACCCTAGATAATCGAGAATTAATCTTTTATTGAGAAGTTGTTTTAATAGAAGAAATTTGGAGATTAAATTGATAATTTAATCGTATGTTTTGATAATTAAAATAGGGATATAGTTTTGTGAGGAATTAAGGAATTGAAGCAAAGAATCATGATTAATGGTAGTAAATTAAACAAGAGTTTAAAATTGGGCCTATCATCAGAATTATTTCCCAAAAATAAGTATTTTAGGGGCGGGGCGTTACAACCCATCTTATACAACAACCATGTCAATCCTCCCCTCCCACTGGAGCAAGCACCTTCATCTCCTTCATCCTTACAACCACACTCGTTCATCCCTAATCCTCATCCCATACCACCCCACCCCTAGGGCGTCGTCTCTCTACTGCCGGATGAGAATACAATCTTCCTCTATCGCCGCCGATTTCTATAGCAAGGCATGGTGTGATTGGCGAAGGGACTCGAGCTTGGCGAGAAAACCATCACCGGATTCGGAGGTTTCTGGGTTGTTCAACGCATCTGGGCCGTTAACTGGTTGTCGAGTTCCAAATCTATGGATCGCTCAGGGTAGGGTAAGGTGGGGGGGTTACGGGGAAGGTGGGTGCGGGGTGGGATGATGGGGTTTGGGTTACGGGAAGGGGTCAGGGATGACGATAAGTAATGGAGAAAAGGGAAGGTGGGTGTGAGTTGCAAAGGAGAGAAGAATGGGTAGGGTTGCAGAGGAGAGAAGAGTAGGTGAGGTTGCAGATGATAAAAAAGGTCGTACCCAGTGCACAAGGCTCCCGCTTTACGCAGGGTCTGGGAGAGGTGAATGTCGGCTAGCCTTACCCCCATTTATGGAGAGGCTGCTCCCAAGTCTCGAACCCGAGACCTACCGCTCATGGGCGAATGCACTTGCCATCACACCAAGAGGAGAAAGGGAGAAAAAGGGTGGGGGTGAAGAGGAGAAAGGGCTCAGGGAAGGAAGATGGTTTTTTTGTTTTTTATTTTATTTTATTTTTATAAAGAGGGTAAATTATTATAATATTTTAAATGCATAAAAATTATTTTGTTGCCACGTGGCACAAATTTGGCAATTACGTCAGCTTTTAATGGACCAATGGATGGAACATGTAACGGAGGTATTATATTGAAATAAAATAATACATGAGTTATGAAAGTGAATTTTTTTTAAGATATTGTATGAAGTTGCAATAGACCTTAAACCTGAGGTGATAAAGTGTAATTGACCTAAAAAAAAAGGAACTGTTATTAACACTTCAAAAATCTCATTCTACACTCATCACAAGTGTATTTTTCTTTCTAATTATAGAAAGTTTGGAAGGCCAATGAGATTTTGGAGTGCTAATAATAATTTCCTAAAAAAAAAAAACCCTAAAAGTAAAGTTTTGAAGGTGGTAAGAGGTGAAAAATTAAATGAGGGTACCCTACAAAGTAGAAATGGACCAAATGGTAGATGTACGTATTTACTTGGTGCAGAGCAACTACATCAAATGACTTTAGAATCTTTGGTGCTTGGTTGGTGACAAATAAATAGATAGCTATCAAACCACAAAACTCATCACCTAAACGATGAGTAAATGGAAATATGGAAATCTGGGAATTAATTTTTATGATATGACCACAAATCTGTTCGAATCACTTATGCTCAGAAATGTTTTGTGCTTTTGTCAAAAGCACTTATATTAGAAGCATTTAATAATTTCTATTGCAAATGCAAGGGCTTTTTCTACAGAAAAACACATATATGGCTTGTAAACGTTTTTAAAATTTTCTACAACGTTTTACAAAAACGCTTTTAATTGACAGAATTTTTTTTTTCTTTTCACAAATAATGCTATACATACACTAATGCTTATTTGGCCTCACTTTTTAAGGAGATAAATGAAGACAAATTTCTTTTGAGTCCAAATGAAGGAATATTTTTTTAAGCGAACCAGTCCTTGACATTATTTTTTTACATAATTTTTTACACAAGTTTTTTAGAGCTCATTTCGTAATGTGTTTAAAAGATCTGAACTGTCTGTTTTCTAAAAACATTTTCATACATTATCTTTGCAAAAAATTAGACAATGTACAATGATCTTTTGGGTGGTTAAACAGCATGGTGAAACATGAGATGTCTCATGTTAAAAAAAACACAGATAAGCACCAATCCGACAAACCCTATGCTGAGCTAAGCACGTACATCACATTTTACTATAACATTAACGCACGAAGCATCTTTACTATATTCTTCTATATTAAAAAGCTTTCGGAAAAGAAATCACATTTCCAGATAACTACCCACCGTCACTCTCTCTCTCTCTCTCTCTATTTCTCTCTCTCTCTCATCATCTGTTTCGGAGTCTCCACTTTATTCGCCATCTTCTTTCAGAATCTCTTTCCCTTTTGGCTAATATTATAATTTATGACATTGCCGTTCACCAACCTTCTCTTTTTCCAAATTGTCATCGTCACTAGCTTTAGATCCGCAGTTGCAGAAAAAACATGGGATGGGATCCATTTGATCTCTGAGTCGTTTTCTTTTCTTTAAATTTTCTCTCTTGCGTGAACATGGAGGGAGAGTATCAAGAAGTAAGTATATATATACATGCATATATACACGCAGATATACATACATACATACATATATATATGTTTGCTTGAATTATACAATGTTGATATATATGCACATGTTTTTATACACACATACATACATATATATATATATATAGTGTTTTGTCTGATGGGGGTAAATATATGTTTGAATGAGAGAAGGTTTACATAAGGAATTCAAGAGGAGTGCAGCTTTTTACTTGCAGATGGTTGCCCTTTTCCTCTCCAAAGGCCCTTGTGTTCCTTTGCCATGGTACTCTTCTTCTCTTTCTCTCTCTCTCCTTTCTTTTGTTCTTTTCAAACTCGGGTTTCGAGCGAATACACCGTTCTAGTCAACTTGACTATATCTTTAACCATGCCCAAATCAGCATCCTTGTTTGATGGGGCATGTGTGGATATTAATTGGTGCTCATTAATGGAGTTGCAGGGTATGGCATGGAGTGCAGCGGTTTCATGAGAGGTAATGAATATCATCTTAAATGACTCATCTTCCTCATTTTTCATTCCTTCTTTCTTCTTTCTTAATCTCCATTTCCATTACTTCTTTAATTAATCTGGCATTTTAACTTTTAATTAACTCACAATATATACAAATAGAATAAATCGACAATTAATTTCTTTCCTTCATAAATTTTATTAACAGGTGACGCTAAAGAGATCGTTTACTTAGATTATATTTTGTAGATAAAATAATAGACAATTCATGGTTAAATTTTTTGTAAATCATTAAAAAAAATTATTCACTACATTTTCCTTCTAAATATTGGTAGTGTTAAGACGGTAATTTCCCGTAAAAGGCAAGACTCCACTTTATGAGGATCGAGAAAACGTCTATAATACATAGTTTTACTTTTTTAATGGTAATAAGTTTTAGGGTAACTTTCACCTTTCTCCATCTCCACCTTTTTCTGCATAAGAAGTAAATCTAGTGGATGCAAAGCAAAACCAAAATTAGGCAAACCAATTCACTAGCTAAAAAGTTTCAAGCCAACCGATGGACTTCCTTTTTGTGCGAGGAAAGTGATTTTTGCTTTTTTTTTTTCTTCCGATACACTTGTTTTAATTTTCTAGCTTATTAAATTGATAAACAAACAAATCAAGAAGAATTAACACTCGATGTAAATGTAAAATAAAAGTGTGAAAATCACTACCTTCTGCTGCGAAAAGAAATATGTTTAGCAGGTCATGTTATCAAATAAAAAAGTAGATGATAATCTTCTGGGAAACAGGTGAATGTAAATCCAATTGCACCTCTATTCCTACTCTGCATTTGTTTACATGGCATTGGCACCTTGCGATTCAGAAAGGGGATAGGAATTAGAAAAAAAAAAAACAAAGTGCGGACAAGCTTAAATCATTGCCGAACATTGCACTGTCCCTTTTATGTCCTATCCCACCCAGCGCTGGATTATTTGGGGCGCTATAATCCCATTCGCATTCCCAATGCCTACCGCACTGTGCGACTGCTGACCTTATCATTTATCCCATCTTTCTGAGTTTCTGGTTTTTGTTTTTTTGTGTTTTTTTTTTTGTTTATGTTCAATTATTTGGGACACAACGTGGGTTTCTTTCAGTCCATAAATATATACACACACACGAAGGCACTATCTTACTTCGCATATTATGAACAGTGGAGCGAGTTACCTGTTAAGCTGTTCATACGTGTGTGTGTATTCTGTCTATTTTATAATTAGCACAACGAAAAGTACTTACACGCACCCGCTACATGCAACGTCTCAATCACATATATTTCAAGTACTATTCACATGAATATACATCCTCGAGAGAGACGATGTATGTAGCGGGTTCCGAGTATTTATGCATGCAAGTTTTTCTGGGTTTGACTTCATGTCTTTAGGGTTTATGTCTTTCCTGACATATTGTATTTTTCTTGTTTATCAATAAATTCTCCTCAAAATCTCTTCTCATGATAGCAATGTTGGAGTGGGACGGACTTTGAAGCTAAATTTACAAATAAATAAATAAAAATAAAAATATTCTATTTGAAAATGATAATTTAAGCAATTATCATGTGAAGTATGGATTTACTTTTAAAATTATTTTGTGGGGCCATCATTGACGGCAAGCTTCTTTCGAGATCCTAAACTGCCCCATCATTGAAATTGAAATTGTTTGGTTTGGTTTGGTTTGGATTTGGATTTGGTTGGCAAACGAATTTTCTGCTGTAGGGTCTCTAGGTGTGGCAAAACTGAATGATTTTTAATTACTTTTTGTTTCTAGGGTTAACTATTAATTGACAAATTAATTCGATCTGCTATCGTTTTTTACATAGAGTGTGGAATCCGCCTAGCTAACGCGGGATATGCCGTGTTCGGAATTGACTACGAGGGCCACGGACGTTCGAGAGGGGCCAGATGTTACATCAAGAAGTTCAAAAACATAGTCAACGATTGCGATGAATTTTTCAAGTCGATTTGTGGTACGTATCCAATTGAATTACAAAATCCTTTAGTGTGACGATACAAAGTAATTTTAGTTTTTAACCAATGCAATTTTAAAATGGTATCGCAGCCGAGGAAGAGTACCGAGACAAGTGTAGGTTTTTGTATGGAGAATCCATGGGAGGGGCAGTTTCTCTACTGCTTCACAAGAAGGATCCCACATTTTGGAATGGAGCTGTTCTTGTTGCACCCATGTGTAAGGTAACAGTAACACATATTACATTTACATTTAGTTAAATTGTGTGTAAGTTTTGCTCGGCTAATCCGACCACCGAACCTTTATGTATAGTTCTACTCGCTTAATCTCGCTTTTTCTTCCAAAAACTAAAAAAATAATAAAACAAAAACAAACGATTTGGGTGTAAGTTGGAGTTTGGTTTTGTTGGTGAAGCTTGGTTTACCAAATTAAACTGATCGTTAATTCCATACAATGTTTTGGTAGATATCAGAAAAGGTCAAGCCACACCCGTTGGTGATCAATGTATTAACCAGAGTGGAGGAGATTATTCCCAAATGGAAGATAGTACCGACCAAAGACGTCATTGACTCCGCCTTCAAAGACCCTGTAAAGCGTGAAGAGGTAACAACTAAATTTACCTTAAATTTTGACAAAAATACATTTTTAGTCCCTGTAGCTTTCGCAAAGTTCCACTTCGTTGTATTGTACTTTTATAGTTTACAAATTGTACCAATCCGAAGACGTCCCATGTACAAGTCCGTCAAATTTACTTAACAGAAGTTAAACAATTTTCTCGAATTTGTCCAATTTGCAAAACTAGATGCAGGAACGAAAGTGAAACTTGTGCGAAAGCTGCAGGAACTGAATAGCCTCAAAATTGTAACGTTTTTTTTTTCAAAATTTTAGATGGGATGGGATCGAATTTAAATGTTTAAATGGTGTCTCTTTCAGATAAGGAGCAACAAACTGATATATCAAGACAAGCCGAGGCTGAAAACAGCACTGGAAATGCTGAGAACTAGCATGAGCCTTGAAGACACTTTGCATGAGGTTTTTTCTTGCTTCCATGTTATTCAAAATGTTTTCGACGAAGCGATATTTTATTCTAAATTAAAGAATTCGATCTTGGGTGCAAGATGGCCGATACACTTTCCTAGGCAACTAAAATTAGACTGATAATTTGGGCAGGTGAGACTACCATTCTTTGTGTTGCATGGGGAGGCAGATACTGTTACAGACCCAGAAGTAAGCAGAGCACTGTATGAGAAAGCCAGCAGCACAGACAAGACCATAAAATTGTACCCCGGAATGTGGCATGGTCTAACGTCGGGAGAGCCAGATGGGAACGTTGAAATCGTCTTTGCAGACATCATAACTTGGCTCGAGAAGCACACGAGTGACGACAACTCCGTCGTGGTGCAACCAATCCACACGTTTAGGAATGCCATTCTGAAAATGAACGGCACGGCATCACCACCACCCCCGCCACCAATAAACAAGCAGCGACCGCGGACGCCATCGTATTTTTGCGGGTTGAAGGGGCGCAGATTGCTACATCACTCGGCAATGTAGCCCTTGCTCTTAAATTTTCCTCTGGATGAGAAATGTTATGAATAATGAACTGAAGCGTCACAAAAGGGAAGCATTGGAAATAAGCGTTGCCGTTTTTATTCATGTAACACAATATATGTGGTATTTCCATAGAAATGTTTCATGGTCCTCTACATCTCCAAATATCGGACACTCTCACTAATGAATATCGTATTTTTAGAAGAAAAATGATGTTCGCACCTCTGTTTGTAACCTAATACGGTTTTCCCTAAAGTGAGTTCGCCACCAAACGTAGCAGCACCATCTGCTAAAAATTCTCTCCTGTAATACATTTACCTCTCTAACCCAGGGGCTTTTGGAGCAAACAACTGATACAAGCATCTTAGCGAGAACGTTGATATATACCTAAAGAAATGTAAGCGTATCTCGATTTGCAATGGATCAATAATTTGGAGAAACTAATTTAGAATACATCAAGTAAATATCATTAAAAAATTTGTAATCTAATCAACGCCGCCTCTAGTGGAGACCGATTGCACAGAAAATAATAGGAAGACGGATAAGAGAAGCTCTCGCTGTTCTACTAAGCTTTAAGACGATAACAACACAGAACGAATAAAAGATGGACATAAAAACGAGTGCTGGAACTTATATGCTACTGTTTCTGTTGCTACTACTGCCGCTGTGAGACCTTTCCTGCTGTATTTTGTTCGGAAATTGGAGAGGGGAAAGAAAGAACGAAAGAAAGGAACCGTCTCTCCCCATTGCCGGTTTGCAAGTCAGAATTCAGGTATATGTGTCAATTGCCATGCCAAGACATTAACATCGGTAGGATTATTACAGGGCGGTGGTAGAGTCAGCTTCATGGTGGTCACCGAAGATGCGTTTCCTGAAGTCAGAGACCATGAGAGGGAGACCCTTTTGAAGGGACACCTTTGGTTGCCAGCCGAGTAAGTCTTTGGCCTTTGTGATATCAGGCTTCCTCTTGTGGGGGTCATCCTCTGTGTTCGGCCTGTACTCGATTTTTGCTTCTGGGTCGATTGTTTCTTGCACCACCTGCAAGCACCAACCAACAAACAAGCGAAAATACTCAATAAATGACGAACCAGAAAATTATTAAGCCGCAACATTTGATTACGGATTTCATTTGATCTTAATTTACCTTTGCAAGTTCGAGCATGGTGAATTCACCCGGGTTTCCGAGATTGAAAGGTCCCACATGTTCACCTTCCATCAGACGCATCAGACCTTCCACCTGTTATATATTGCCATACACAAAACGGCAGTGTCATATTACGTACTTTTCAGCATCAGCAGCAAGCAATATTAAACCAGAAAACCACTTATGCAGGTAAGAAACTAATTTCTGCTTCCCAGCGTAACAGCTGAAAGCACACCCCAAATGCCCAACTACGAAGTCTTCTGTCCCAAATCACACTTGCATACACGAAAATATCATTTGCAAGAAAAGTCTGCCGGGAATTGTAGTACTATATCTACTAAAACATATCACTGCCGGGCGCCAGATACCCAAAATTGGACTATTTACCTCCTCCAATATATTTAGAGTAAATTGTAGCTATGGTCCTTAACTTTAACTTAATTGGAGTAATGATCATTCAACTAAAAATCCATTACCACTGATCCCTCAACTCATTAAAATGTGCAGCTATGGTCCCTGAACTAAAAATCCATTACTATTAGTCCCTTAACTTTAATTCAATTGGAGAAATGATCCCTTAACTTTAACCCAATTGTAGCAATGGTCCTTCCAACATAACTCGTTTTGAAAAAAATTTTGATGTAGTTGACGAAAATGATCATAATTACACACTTTGATGAGTTAAGAGACCCTAATTATATAAATGGTTATTCCAACATAACTTATTTTGACAAAATTGATGAAAAGGACTATAGCTACATATTTTGGTAAGTTGAGGGACCAATGGTAATGGATTTTTAGTTGAGGGATCATTGCTCCAATTTCATTAAAGTTGAAGGATCATTGCTATAATTTACTCATATATTTATAAGCATTTCGTAAGAAACACCTTGAATGACACGAACATCCTGCTTTTTATGAGGTTTACTAGTTTTGATTTTGAAAAATACATATTACTCCTCCGAGCAAGCAACGATGGTGCAAGAATACATACAAGTCAACCCAGACTTACCAACATAAGATGGTATTAAGAAATGCATGTCGATGATTACTCGTCATACGAAGAAACTGATCAAAATGCACAACATTGACTAATTTTGCTTGCATCAGTGCTCAAGTGCACCAACATGTGCACAAAAGCATCAATTATATGTCTAATCTGTACAAATTTTGGTTCACAAACCGATTTCAAATGCTTTGTTCCATGCACATGGGCAACATGATATTCACTAATATTTTTTAGTCACAATCTTAGTCTCTAATCTCGCATTATAAACTTTTCACATGGCTCGATACTATAAACCCTAAAAAGAAGGATTCGGAATATAAAAGTAAGTACTGGTTTGGTACCGATGTGCTTTTATAAAAAGTGGGTATAAAAAAAACTGAGCTAAAAAATGTGTTTGATAAACACTTAAAAACAACTTATTTTCATAGTTTTGGATGAAAAAAAAAACCAGAAAACGTGAAGCAGCAAAAATAAGTTTATTCTCACATCAAACGTTTTTTTTTCAAAGCACAGCAATAACAAACCAACCCAAACCACCAAGCAACAAAGCAAACGTAAACAATACAGACTTCTTAAATACTGTGTTAAAGTAGACTCGCTCACCAGATCGGAAACATATTGGAAACTCCTCGTTTGCTTCCCGTCACCATAAACCGTCATCGGCTCTTTCCTCAACGCCTGCATTATCGCCACCATCCCGCATTTAGCACTAAAACGAAGAGCTCATCGTTTCAGCGAAAGATAATCCGATACACAAGCAATTTACCTGAGCAACAAAGTTACTAACAACGCGGCCGTCATCTATGCACATTCTCGGCCCGTAAGTGTTAAATATCCTAGCAATCCTTACCTGCAACAACATCCGAAGTTTCAAACAGAAAACATTACATCTAAGATTTAAGCAAAAAGAAAGTTCGTGACGTTTATAGACTCGTTGTATAGGACGACTGATGTGACTGATAAATGTGATATATGTAACGTTACTACAACGTTCACATCACATTTATTTCGCATACCTAAATGTGATCGGTAAATATGATAAGGGTAAATGTTAACATACCTCAACACCAGCTCCTCTGTGGTAGTCCATGGTCAATGTCTCGGCCGTACGTTTTCCCTCGTCGTAACAGCTTCGGACACCTGTCAGCCATTCAGACAATCAAACGTTGTTTGTCAGGTAACGGGGCCAAAAACTGTAGACCCTGTCAGATCTAGACCTACCCTAAACCAAAGGACACCTGTCCGTTTTACAATCCCGCCGTCCACCTAATTACTCATTTTACCGCCCAACACCTTTGGTCACGGCGGGGCGTGGAGAACACATTTTAGTCTCCACGGTCCGATGAGTGGACCCGAAAATCACGGGTAATCTCATTGACCGTGGAAACCGGAACGGATCTGAGGAACTTTTGGCCACGTGGGCCTCACTAACCGTGTCCGACGTCCATTTGACTCCTTTAAGAAAAAGACAGGATCCGAAACTTGATTCGAATCGAAGACGCAGACACTCCGACGCCTGTCCCGCGCATGTTAGACTAAACACGCATACCGCCGCTAACGTGCGCCGCAACGACTGGTAGAAACGTCTAAGAAACGGAGAGAAACGAGATGCTGTCGGAAACTCACCGATTGGATTAACGTTGCCCCAGTAGGTTTCAACCTGCGGGTGCTGCAGAGGATCGCCGTACACCTCGCTGGTGCTCGTCAGCAAGAACCGCGCTCCGATCCTCTTTGCAAGACCCAGCATATTCAGAGTCCCCACCACATTGGTTTTGTGCATCTCCAAAAATTCAAAATTAAGGCCTCCAAATAATGATATCAAAAAATTGAAACAAAAATCGTTCGCATACGTGAATTAAGTCAGTTGAACACAACAGCGTTCCTGTTACCGCCTCGGGCAATTGTCCAGCAGTGGCCTGATCAATTGGTAGACACTGTTGTCTCTCAGCCAATTGGTCAGGTGTGACCGCCTTACCAATTGGCCAAGACACTCTTCTGTCTCGGCCAATTGATCAATGAGTGCAGACCACCTGACCAATTGGCTGAGATAGAATATCCGCCAAGAAAATGTGAATTAGACCAGTTGAAAGAAATTATAGTAGCAAAGGATATAATGGTCTTGACGGGGTTGAATTTGTAATGAACAGGGGAGGCAGGGCAAGCCAGATGGTAGATCTGGTCGACCTCGAGCAGAAGTGGCTCAACGACGTCGTGTCGGATGAGCTCGAATCTCGGGTTCCGGAAATGGTGCATCACATTCTCCTTCCTTCCCGTGAAGAAGTTGTCCACCACGATCACGCTGTCGCCTCGCGCAATCAGACGATCAACAAGGTGCGACCCGACGAACCCGGCCCCGCCCGTCACGACGATCCGGAGCCCCTTTCGTTTCAGCCCCAGTGGCACCTTCCCGCTAGAACCCCAGCTATTCAACCCGAATCTGCGTTCGTAGGCCGGCTTGTACTGGGTCGTCGCCGACGAATCGAAGTCGTACCGGACGTACTCGTTCGTGATCGGGACGTTGCCCGAGGCGTAAGGAGAGCGGGAGGTGGAGGACGGGAGGATGGTGAACCCTACGGTGGCGATAACAATGCCGACGAGGATGAAAACGAGCCGCTGCTCTCGGAGCAAGTACTGTATCGGGCGGGTCACGGAGGCCCACGGCTTTGGGCGTTTGGGCGAATAGGTGTCCGCCACATGTTGGTCGGCTTCGTGCCCTCGGAAAATCAGCTCCGAACCCATTTGTCGGAACTGTGTCCGAAGAAGCAGAGTGAGTTTAGAGTCTCTGAGTTGGACGAGTTGGAATCGCCGGCAACTCGCTTTGTGGCGGGTTTTTGTGATGCGGTCTCACTCGTGTATGTTGCGGGTATTTAAGCTGTGGGGGAGTCCGAAGTTGGCTCTGGGTTTTGGCGGTAATTACAAAACGGCCCTTCGTGCCTTTTCCTGTTTGAAAAGTAAACGGTTATCATTTGTCTAATATACTGATATTTTTTTTTTCTTATTAAAAGTTGTAATTTCAAATTCTTATGATAAATTTATTATGTGATTTAACTCAAAAGGTAATACTAGGGTAATCATTATTTACTTTATCATTTATTTTATCTTTATATTTAAAATTTAAATGTTTCAAGTCATTTTTATAAGTTTTTCTTTAATTAAAC